GGGCTCGTGGGGCTCACGTACAGTCAAGACATCATCTTCAAACACTTCTCTCGCTTCCTCGTACTTGCAGATTTCCTCGTAGCATTCCTTTTCCAAGTTGCCCTCGAAGATTTCTTCCAGGAGATAAGAACCAGCACGTCTCCATCTCACCAGAACTTTGTGTGCCTCCGAGGCCGGAAGAAACACTGCGGGTGGGGGGTGGGGGTGCAGCAGTGTAAGAGGGAGCCCTCTGTCACACAGTGACACACGGTGCCTCGGCTGGAGCATGCTGTTCCCTCCTGTTCATCAGGGCCTGGTCTGTGCTCCTCTTCAGGGCCAGCTAGCTGGTCATTCCTATGCTGTGCATGTATTTTCTGTGTTGAGTGGGCGGATGGCCCTTATGGGTTAGGCAGACACACACAGGCCCTGAGAGGCTGTGCTCAGTTAGCTGCAGTAGGTGAGGGTCCACGCAGAAAGCATGATCTGGGACAGGCACATCACCGCTCGCTTCAACATTATCTACACTGGCACTTTCCAATCTCGGTGTTGCAAAAATGCACCACCTGTGGGCAGACCCATGGGGTAGGTGCTTCGCGGAGAGTGGAGAGTGTCTGTATGTGAACACCCAGTAAAGGAATGCAAGGACTGAGTGGTTTCTCCACGGTGGGAAAGAGCCCTGAGCAGGCCGACCGAGACAGACAACTCTGGAGCATTTCCCATGAGTGTGGGCTCGGGCGAGCTCCCTCAGACAGAGCTCAGATCCATGGAGTTCTCCTTCCTGCCCGTTCACAGGATACTCTTGGGCTCTGAGCATCTCCTATCCATGCTGCCACCTTGGATACTTTGGGCAGTGGTCAGGGGAGAGGACGGTTTCCTCAGAGCCGCACCACAGTTGGGTGTTAATGTGCCAAGATGCCTGTATCCACCCCAGGGACAGTGATGCTACCACAGGGCTTGGAGACATAGCCCTGCTCACGAGGAGCACTCAGGTCGAGGACAGGTACGCAAGCTGTCTTTCCCCTCACATCAGTATGCAAGGTACCAAGAAGCCCCGTTTGGCTAAAGTTGGGGCACATGTGGATCACAAAGGCTCATCAGGCTCAACCCGACAACAGTGATTTTTCTGAGAACTTTGGTCCGGCTCAGGGGCCCGGGCCAGTGCTGAGAGCCAGCGTACAGGACTTGTCCGTGTGGGCTCCACCCTCACAGGGAGTTGGCGTTGAGCAAACTGTTACACACGAAGTGACAGGTGACGAGGAATGTCAGGTGTGGATGGAGGGAGTGTGGGAGGCAGAGAGGGTAGAGCCTAGCGGCCTGGAACCACAGCTGAGCTGAGGAGCCGTGGGCTGCAGTCAGGGTCGGGGAAAGGAGGGCATAGACACTCCCGGAGGCTGGGATGGAGGCTTATCACTCCAGGATGGAAAGAGCAACGTGGATCAAGACTCAGGCTAGCTGTCCCCCGCAGTCCTTCGGCACAGAACAAGAACCCCGACATCTAGATGGACAGGCTGCAGCCCAGCTTCGGCTAAGGGGTGCCCAGCCAGGTCTTGTCCTGCACGACTTAGGCTGCCCTTGGCTCGACAGGTCCCTATCCCTTTCAACAGCTCTTACCACATGGCAATGAGATCCATACCGACCTTCAGGAGGGAGAATGAGAATGTGGCTTGTCCTTTAGGACCCCTAGAGACAGTGTCATCTATAGAACCATTGGGGCTGTGCCAAGGAGGAGATGGCTAGGTCTGGTGGTCCTAGCACTCAGGAGACTGAGGCAGGAGGATTGCCAAGAGCTGAAACTAGCCTGAACTACATAGTGAGTTCCAGGCCAGCCTGGGCTATAGAATGAGGTCCCAGCTTTAAGAACATGTTTTTGTTTTATGTTCAGGCTATCTGTGTATTATTTCTCCTGCAGTTGTACATAAAATGTTTTTACATTCGAAGAAAGGACAAATACTATAGAATTGTATTACATGAAATACATAGAATATACAAAAAAAAAAAAAAAAAGAAAGAAAATGTTTTTAAAAGAAAAAAGCAGCAAGTGCCTACCTGAAAGCTCCGCCTGGTGCAGGACAAGGGTGAGGGTGAAGGCGAGGAGGAGGCCCCGGCGCAGCAAGACGCAGCCAGCCATGCTGACCCAGAGCCCGGCTGGCCCAGGCAGGGCAAAGTCTGCAGACAAAGTCCAGGGCCCCAGGAGGCCCAGTGGTCATCGTGTGCCTCAGAACACATAGAGGGCTAGAGTGAGTGACGCGTGGACCGAGGTGTTGAGGGCTTGTGTAGGAGATGCACCCCCGTTCTGTTCCCTTCCTGCATTTACTGGCAGCCAGGGTGGGAGGAGAAGGTAGACATGGAGGGGACCATGGAGGCGCCTCCGTGCAGGTGGCCTTCTTTCCCTGCAAGGCGCCATCCTGGGTCCGGACCCAGCCGTGAGGGGGAAGGACGCCACCACAAGGAATGTGTAGCCTTACAAAGGAAGGGCCCAGAGAATTGACGGGGGTGGGGACGGGGGACGACGAGACAGTGTCAGATGAAGATGGGCGGGCAAGCAGGGCAGGCAAGGTCTAAAGGCTGGTGGACAGCGTGTCTACCCCAGAATCAGCTTCTCCAGTCCATCCAGGATACAAAAAAACACCAAAGACATCTGAGGTTCATGTTCCTCAGCACTGGGAGGGGCACGGCCTCTGTGAAAGCCTCCTCCATTCGGAAGGAAGTCTTTTCTCTTGCCATTGGCTAGGTCTTGTTTCTGGATCAGGAGCCGAGCCGAGCGAGGAGGCTGCCTCTGTGCTCAGTCTAGAAACCGTCACCATCTGCTCTGGGAATCTGCACTCTGGGTCCCCATCACACCCCAGGGAGCCTGTGCCCACATTACCAGCACCACAGGAATCCTGGGTCCTGATTGCCAGAGCCACAAGGGGAGATGCCTCGCTAAATCTAGGGTTCCCATTCTTGGCCCCTTACACTCAGGATCTGGGTGCTGGCTTTTCTGTTTGCTTTGAAATTATTGGTGATTATCTTCATGTTTGTAGTGGTGAGCGAGGTCTAACATGATGCGCTCGGGAGTAAATTCCCTTTTCAATGTCCACTCAGGTTCCCCATGAGCTGACCCCACACCCACACAGACTCTTGTGCTTGTCTTTCTGTTGGTACGGGACCTGTGTGGGTGCTGACCTTGTCCTGGGGTTGTTGGAGACCAGGGAGTTCTTGTTCTTAAGGACAGACACAGAGTCCATCCATGGAGGTGGGTGAAATCGGGGTCTTCCCACTCCTGACCTGCAGGTAGGGCCAACGGGCCACGACATGGTGTTCTCCAGTGTCCACAACACTGACCAGCTGTGGCTGCGGAGGTGAGCTCTGCTCAGACCCCAGCCTCACTCTCGGTCATTATGGTTCTAGGAAATCAAGTGCTGTTTTTGTTGATTTTTCCCCAATCTTGCAAAATCTGTTTACAAAGGACTCTGTCCAGCTCTTGATTTAGGGGGAGGTTTTGTACTGGAACCTTTAAACTTTGCTTAGGAAAGTTATGCAAAATGCAAACTATAGGAAAACTTTTGGGGGAAAAAAGTCTATTTACTGAAAGTAGGCGTGGTTCCCACAAACATTTAACTTGGGGCTCAGAGGCAATGAAAGACTGGACGGGGGAGATGTGCCCTGAACACCTGCTTTGGTGGCATGACAGTGTCTGGAAGAGTTCCAGAAACTTCTGGGGTGAGGCTCATTCTAGAGACTTAGAATTTAATGTCTGGGATAAGGCCAGAATTTAGGCTTTGCAAAGAGCCCTCTGGAGTCTCCTAATCCAAGCAGGGCTAAGGCTCATGTGTTTGGGGATAGGGTCGCTATTAGCCCTTCATAAGCCAATAGCATGCTCAGGAAGAAGGGCCCATGCACATTCAACACCAAATTTAACTCAGGGAAATTCCATTGGCTCTCACCAGGCAGCCCATCTTGGGAGACTCTTGTGCACACTCATTACTCAGCCTCATTCAGGAAGACCCATGCACACTAAGCAAACAGCCCAACTCAGGGAGGCTGCATGCACACTCAACACTCAGCTCAGCAGAGAGTCCGTGTGCCTTCACCAGGAAGACTCCTGGACACACTCAGAGGCAGCCCAACATAGGATTGGTCCTTGGCTTGGATCTGGGTTAAAGGTCCCTTTATCTGTAGACAAGGATCTTAGCCTATCTTCCAGGGATTCTTTACTTTCAGTGGACGGCATGGTAGCAGCAATTCTATGTTGTCTTGTTCCCAGAGGAGAGTGAGGGTTCTCTGGCCAAGCAAAGGAGTTTGTGAGTCTGGGCCCCCTGACCTAAACCACCTGCTGAGGGGCTGAAGTTCCTGTCCCACTGTCTGTCTCTCTCTCTCTCTGTGTGTGTGTGTGTGTGTGTGTGTGTGTGTGTGTGTGTGTGGTGCCTATGGCTGTGGGCATTTGGTCTGAAGGTAGTTAAGCAAGTCGGTTGAGAAGGTCATACACCGTGATGGTGGGCAGAGCTGGTGACTCCCTGAGAGTCTGGCTCAGGAAGAGGAACCTTCGCTCAATTAGAGCCTGCTTCTTACACCATGAGGTGAAGGGAACATCAGATTGGGACCCAAAGAGTCTACCACTGCAGGTGGGCAGCTGCCCCAAGAAACCTCCTGCTCAGGCGGCGGCGGCGGCGGCATTCACTAACACCCTATGTGACCCAGCAGGTCTGGAGAATGACGGCTTTAATGGGGAGGGCTTGAAGGACTTGACCTTGGGCCCTCAGGTGTGGGCACCACCCTGGCTTTCATGGACTTGTCTATCCACCTGAGGAAGGCCGTGACCTTCGTGTAGACCCCGTACTTCCCTTTCCTCGCACACCCTTCTCCCCAGCTCACGATGCCAGTCACAAAGTAGGTGTCCTTGAATCGGGTGACGTGGGGGCCCCCGCTGTCCCCCTGACAGGCGTCCTCCAGCTTGGCGTCATAGCCGGCACAGAACATGTTCTGTGTGATGCTGAAGCTGCTGGAGAGCTTGCAGGTGTTGCGGTCCACGTAGGGCACCTCCAGCATCTTCAAGATGTTCGACTGGCGGCCCTTCTCGTGCGTGCGTCCGAACCCACTCACGATGCCCGACTTCTGTGTCATCAGGGTGGCCTCGGCCCAGTCCTTCTGAGGCAGGCAGGCGGGGGCCACGTTCATGCGGAACGTGATGGGCGTCTTCAGCTTGAGCACCGCGATGTCGAAGTCGTAGGTCTCCCTCACAAACTTGTTGTGCTTTATAACCACATCTACCTCGTGCGACATCTCATTGCCTTCCTCCTTCTCTGTGTTCCGGTCGCCTGGAGAGAGAAGGAGGGAGGGAGGGAGGGAAGGAGGGAGAGAGAGAGGGGGAGAGGGAGAGGGAGAGGGAGAGGGAGAGAGAGAGAGGCAGTTAGTTCTCTGAGGGCCAGGTGTTTGTATATCAGCTACCTTTAAAGAAGCATGTCTTTAGTCCCATCAGGAAGGAGGCAGAAGCAGGAGGATCTCTGTGAGGTGGAGGCCAGCATCATCTACATAGTTAAGTTCCAGGCGGGGGGGGGAGGGAATGATCTGGTTGGTTTTAAGTCACATTGACACAGGCTAGAGTCATCAGAGAGGAGGAAACCTTAATTGAGAAAATGCCCCCATAAGATTGGGCTATAGACAAGCCTGTAGGGCATTTTCTTAATTAGTGATTGACGTGGGAGGACCCAGCCCGTTGTGGGTGGGGCCATCTCTGGGCTGGTGGTCCTGGGTTCTATAAGAAAGCAGGCTGAGCACGCCATGAGGAACAAGTCAGCAAGCAGCACCCCTCCTGCCTCTAGGTTCCTGACCTGCTTGAGTTCCTTTCCTTTGCTGAGGAACAGTGATGTGGAAGTGTAAGTTGAATAATCCCTTCCCCCGACCCCCGACCCCACAAAAGAAGTTTTTTTTCCTAATAAAAAGAAGATCAAGATGAGGAGTGTATGCTTGTACTCCGAGCACTCAAGGATGAGGCAAGTGCTTTGCAAATTCAGGAAGAGCCTGTCCTCTAGAGAGACTAAAGGTACTTAAAAGGACTTCTGTCTTCCTTCCAGGGTTTCACCTTTTGATCATATTTTTAAAGACTCCTTTTAAAAAATGGTTTATTTTATTGTATGTGTATAAGTGTTTGCCTGCATGTATATGTATGTGTACTACGAACATGCCTAAGGCCTGTGGAGACCAGGGCATCAGGATCCCCTTTGAACTAGAGTTACGGGCAGATGTGGGCCCCCATATGGGTTCTGGGAATTGAACCTAGGTCCTCCATGAGAGAGCGGTTAGTACTTTTAACCACTTAGCCACCTCTCCAGCTTCCTGACTGAATTTCTGTGTGAAGGTTTAGGACTCCAGTTCTTTCTAATTCCTCATGCCTTGGCAGATGTTCCCTGAGTATTTCCTGCAGGCTGAGTCCGTCAATCTGCTCAGAGCCCAGGGTCTCCTATTCCAGACCTGGGCTGCGCACCCAGCCCCGACCAGTCTGAGTTGAGATGAACCGAAAGTGCAGAGCTGCAGGCCGTGAGGGGAGCATGCAGTAATATCTCAGTCACAGCGCTGCAGGCCGTGAGGGGAGCATGCAGCAACATCTCAGTCACAGCGCTGCAGGCCGTGAGGGGAGCATGCAGTAACATCTCAGTCACAGCGCTGCAGGCCGTGAGGGGAGCATGCAGTAACATCTCATCACAGCGCTGCAGGCCGTGAGGGGAGCGTGCAGTAACATCTCAGTCACAGCGCTGCAGGCCGTGAGGGGAGCATGCAGTAACATCTCATCACAGCGCTGCAGACTGAGGGGAGCGTGCAGTAACATCTCATCACAGCGCTGCAGGCCGTGAGGGGAGCATGCAGCAACATCTCAGTCACAGTGCTGCAGGCTGTGAGGGGAGCATGCAGCAACATCTCAGTCACAACTGAAGTTAACTTGTTTCTATACACACGGGAAGTTAAGGCTTTGGACACAGAGCGTGAAACGAGACACTGGACTAGCCTCACCTATCTATACTTGTTAAATCTGGAGCAGAGGGACTGGAGAGATGGCTTAGTGGTTAAGAGCACTGGCTGCTCTTCCAGAGGTCCTGGGTTCCGTTCCCAGCATCCACATGGCAGCTCACAACTGTCTGTAACTCCAGTTCCAGAGGACCTGACACCCATGGCCAAACACCATTGCACATAAAATAAAGTTGAATAAAAAAATTAAGAAAAAATCTGGAGCAGAGTTACGTCAGACATTTTCAAACCGCATTTGAGGCTTGTGCTGG